ATTTTGAGTTGAATAGCAGGTTGATCCACGAGTCTCCCATGCAAGGTGACTCCAAAAATGTTAGTTATTTAACAACAAGGTTTGCTAAACCGACTGGTCTAATATAGCAGTATTTACCGTCTGATCTAGGACCAGATCACAAATCACCCTAACAAGGAAGTTTGATCACGTTCTAATATATAATATTCTTTTTCCCTTGTAGTTATGGTTCGGAGCATCCTGATCTCTCGTGCTTGCAACAAGGTCCGAACAGCTGCCACTCACCTTTGTCGCCACTAGCCGCCTGTGGTTCTGCTCCGGTACGCTTCCTCCTCTTCCTCCTCCTCCTCCATCTTCTTCCTCAGCTTCTTTCTTCTTTTGCTTCCTTCTTCCTCTTCTTCCTTATTTCTCTTTTCTTTCTTCTTTTTCTTCCTCCACCTTTTTCCTCTTCCTTCTTCGTTTTCTTTCTCAACCCTTGTTCCTCCTGTCCTCTCCCTGCCCCAAAGATTTTCCAATTCATACCAGCGTACCAACATACGGTACAGTATGCTAAATGGATTGGATTGGTCTGGTCATGAACCGACAAAGGTCCAGTTACTGAAACTGCAAACCTTGTTTAATAGTTCGAGTTTTTGTTAGTTTGGCAATTGTAGATGTAGATGGAAAGTCTTTTGATTTCCATCATAGCAAGCTTACTGCCTAGTCACCTGATTCCTACTGAACTATTTCTTTTTCTTTCCACCCAAAATCACATCATTCGCTCCCCTCTTTCACTTGGTCTCTCTCAAAAGTCTCTTCATCTCTCTCAGTCTCTTTCAAACATTTAAATCTTGACAAACCAAGGTTCAAACTCAAGAAAAACATCAAGTTTCTCCTCTACTAGGTAACTGCAAAGCCTACAATCAAAATTAGTTGTTAGTTCTGTTATTCAAACTTTTCGTACCATTTTGTATATTAGGATCATGATTTAATGCTTAGATCAAAGCCCTAGCCCCTGATCGAGTCATTTCCTATTTAACTTTTCTACTATGGGACCAGATCCACGCAAGTCTAGCATAAATCTACTTCAAATACATGTAACCTTCAAAACATGTAATTACTAGAAATACTAGTAACAAAATCAAGGTAAAAAAAATTCAAAGAGCTCTGGTAAATATAAAATCATCAAACATATTGTAATTTGAGAATTGAATGAGGTAGCCAACCTGACAAAGTTTAAAGCATGAGTTTATCTAAAATGAAGTTACATCCAATTTTATGTAGACTATCGTGGTTCAATTTTCAGTTTGAACCATTTTAGGGGTTGTGGGACATGGCGACAACAACTTGCAAGCCATTTCAATTGAGACTGCATCTATAATAATAATAATGTGATCAATAACAATATAAATCTTAGTATATGTAGAGAAAATCAACAGCTTTATTCTATAAATATAGAAGTACAATTTGTATATTATGATAATATTTTAAAAAATAATCAAACTTTCTAAATTGGAAAGATCATAAAAAATACCTTTCGCCAGCTCTCATGATAACAACAAAACAAATGACAGGAACAACAACTTCTATCATCATCGCTCTTTTTAATTTTTGGTAAATGTCTCACTGTAACATAATCTTCTTTTAGCTTAGGTACATACTGACAAAAACGATTAGCCGTGAGACCTCCAAGAACTTGCAAACCTGCAACAGATGCTGAAAAATTAGTATAATATAATGGTGAGCAAGATCTACTCCATCTAAATAAAATCACGTTCATCAGATATCCAATTGAAGGATGTTAGCTTTATCAAAGAAAATAAAATGTTGTCAGCAAATAAAATTACACTTACTATAGTATCCAACCAATGGTGTAAGCTATACACCATGGTTTGCGATACTGTACCATACCGCTCGGTATGGGCCGTACATACCAGTCCAATAGAGGACCGGTACGAACGGTATATCGGTACACTTTAGTATACCATATGTTGGTACAACTCAATACGTACCGTACCGATAGTTGATTGGTACACCGGTATGATATGGTATTCAGAACCTCGACACACACACGCACACACAAACACATATATGTATATGTATATATATGTATATATGTATACATATATATATATACATACATGTGTATATATACATATATATATATACATATATATATATACATATATATATATATATAATATCTATGTATATATGTGTGTGTGTGTGCAACTTGCAAAAGTATATGATATGGGTAACTGACATATGAAGTCATAATGAATATAGTTTGATGATGCTTCACAAGTCTTTCACATATCCAATAAGAGCTTGGAATTTTTAACCTATTAACAAGGATAATTTGGCCATGAGTCCCTGTTAATCCATAAGATGATTGAAAGAGTCAATACCTCAGAATTTACAATATCAAAGCTCCCTAGAAAATGATTCAGATACCCTTGCATAGCCACTTTTGCCCTGTCAGAAACAGAATGCTGTCTCCCCAGTGATGGCCGGATTATTGGCAGTGCAGCACTAGAAGGTATATCTCTGCACAAAGATTTAATAGCATCAGCAAAGCTCTAACAAAGGCAACAGTTGGCAGATACCACAATTTCTTGGATTAACAGAAAAATAATTAATCAATTTCAGTTAGATCCAATACACAACTATGCATTTGAGTGGACACCATTAAATATGTTATCATTGGAAAATTTTGCATGCAAGATAAATTATGGCAAACTCAAGCATGCCACAATCAACCTGCAGTAGAACTATGAAAAGTTGAACAACAACCAAGTATTACATTAGCCATAGGTGTTCAAGAGTGACTTTTCAGATGCTATTGATATACATGCACATAAAAAGAAAGAGAAGTTTTTGGCAAGAAGAGGTGCTGAAAATCAAGAACAGTAAAATATCAAAAATAAAATGGACCAACGTGCTAAAAGAGAGAAAGCATGCAAAAATTAAAACCATCTTTAAATATCTGGTTAATGAGTAATGACTAAAAAAAAGATAATCCAGAGTAACTAGCACAAGCTTTGGTGCATGTGTGTCTGTGATAAAAGTGCATCCTTTCTTTATAAAGGCATTGAACCTTCAATAAGTACAATTATTACTTGCACCAACAAAATGTAACACTAGAAAATACATATTACCTAATTTAAGTAGGCAATATTTTAACAGAGTTTTCATGGAGTAGAACAATGAACATAATTGGGATTTCGATAGACACAAATAAAAAAGGATCAAGGAGGTAGGCCAAGTTTATAATATATGTACATTAAGAGTAATATCTGGATTTTAGGATGCAATACAGGTAAAATATTTTGCTCGCCTCAAACTTATAGGGCAAGCTTGTATGTATTAAATCTTATTCAAAACAAATGGGTGGAACAAGAATTCAGATTTTCTAAAAGCAGGTACCGCATTTGTAATCATTCAAAACAAGGATGTAACAAGCAACAAAAAAGTAAATTAGACTAAGTAAATTTTTGTAGTGGCATTCGCTAATATACTGGACATGAATCAAATTGCAATAATCTATTTAGATGGCATCAAGCCTTCAAGAAAGACATTTCAACTTTTCAAGTGCATCCAACTGTATTTAAGATCACAGTTTCCCCTAACAAGATGAAATATTATCCATCATCAAGTACAATAACACCACTCATTTGTTGCTTCTTGTACATATATGTCATTTGAGGCTAATACAATGGACACTGAGATTGGGAATGCCAACAACCACCTGCTTTTAGCAGACAAGTTCCCCTCTTGTGCTAAAGTAACAGGCTTATCATCTTGCACAATAGGCGTGACACGCTCACCAAGACCAAGATTTTGGAGCCACACTTTGACCTTCATTAAAGCATATATGAAAGATTCACATTAAATTCACTTAAGCAGATATAAATAAGTGGACTAAAGTGCTTTTCTAATGCTTCACAAGTGCTTAAGTCTATATTCAACTGATCAATAAATATTGAACTGAGATATGGAGAGAAAAAAACATACTCAAATTAGATACAGAGACACAATAGAAAATGTATATTAGAAAATATTATGAAATGTTTTTTGAGATCACTAGCTTAAAACACAGGTAGAAACTGAAACTCGGCTTTAAAATAAGTGAAACTTTGTATATCATGGCTTATTGCCAAATTTTGTTTTTATACTTTATCTCTAACTTTATCATGAATTTCTGCTACCTTTTTCCTTAGTTCCCAAGGACCAGTGAGGAAACATATTGGACATGGAGTATATTATTCAAGAAGTAGCATGCACCCCCTGGACTCACCTGTTCCTGCTTCTCATGAAGTTCTTCAATAAATGCACGCTTCTCCAAAGTAAGATGTAGGCATAATACTTGTGAGGCTTTCTTTACTAAGCGCCATTTAAACTGACAAATAAAATTGCCGAGGCTGAGTTCATGACGATTTTTAGATCAAAATTTAAATTTGGGGAGTGCCTATGAATATAAAACCATTCCCGCCAACATCACACAATATATGGAACAACATGAAAAATCAAGTCCAGGTATCATTGAACAGTCACAGCATGCAAACAACAGACCTTTTAATTTCAACAACAGTATTCTCCAATAATTTTCAACAACAAAGCTGATAGTACCCAACCTCTAAATGAGGACGACATGCATGAACTCATTCCAGAAGCAAAATTTTGTTCTGATCGAGAGTGCAAATTTGTATATAACTTAATTCAGTGTGCTAAATGCATCTGATACTTGACTAGTTCTATCCATATTTTAAAAAAATGAGAAAGTGACAAAAGATATTATTGCCAAAATTAAATAATAATAAAAATATTCTTGTTAAAATTGAATGGTAAAAAACACTATAACAGAAGATATCAAGAAATAAATTGACTTCTGCAATATGTTTGGTATACCTTCAAACGCAGAAAAAATACTGACCAAGAACAAAATGAGGTTTCATAGCCTAAGTTGACTTCAACATGTCCAACGAAACTATCAATGCAGATTAAGCCAAAAAAAAAAGGGTCAGTATCACAAGAAAACGAGATGTAGAACTAAGTCCAACCAAATTATCTCCTTCTGAATGTAGGAGAAGGGAGACTGGGAGAGATCCAAGCTAGTAGGCATATTGGTCTTAATTGAACCTAGCCTCTAGGGCAGCAGGAACTGCTTCCTTCTTGTACATATACAAGTGGTAAATCACCCTTACCACACACGCACTCTCTCTCTCTCTCTCTCTCTCTCTCTGGTCCCAATATCTCACTGTTTCTTATTTGACTGATATTAGTTATGCCAAGTGAGCTGTAAAAAACACAAAGAACCCTTTGTTAGAAACAGTAAGAAATGATATGTGGTCATTGACGTAATGGTGAGAAAAGGTCTGTATACTTGGCCCGAAAACCTGGGAACAATAATGGTTCGCTGTTAATTTCTTGTCACTATATTAAAATAGATGAGTAGCACTATCTGTAAAGTATCATCAATTGTGTAAGTGGATTTAATATTCAAATTGGCCGGCAAACAATGATATTGTTCTTTTTCTAAGAAGGTATACTTTTAGGATCAGCCTAGAACTTTGGTATCCTGGAGAAATCAGTTTAGTAATCATAAAAATGGGATTCCATTCTAGAACCATACTATTCTACAAATTCTATGGTAAATCCAATAATATAAGATCATAACTCTGCAGTATGTTCCACCCACATGATACACTACTTAACTGCTCCCAAGCTATAAATAGACTTTAAAAGAATTTTTAGTATCACTTTGAAATAAACCAGGTACATCTACATAAAAGATGTAACAAATCTGGCAATCTTACATGCAATTGTAATGTACGTAATACCAAAATGAAAAATCCAGATTTCAATCCTCCGTTCTTTCGATTTGACAGGAATTTTGTCATATAATTTATTGCTGACCTACAATTCATTCCAGTGTAGTACGAGTGAAAGTTAAGAATATCTGTATAAGCAGGAAAAGGATGTTAATTGATTCATGATTCATGAGGGGCAAAACACCATCCTCAAGCCAATAGAAAGTGAAACAAGATAGGGCAGAACCATTAAGAAAATGAGAATATTATCTTGCATAAAGAAGAGGCGCAAACAACTTTAGCGCGATGCATCGCAGATGGAACAATTAGACATGCCTATATGTATATTTTCTAATTCCACCAGCAAACTAGTTTTCTCGCTCCGCAGCACTAAACGAGAAATCCCTCACGTCATCCGCCCAACAAAAATACCATCAAACCCCACCACGATAATGAAATAAAAGAAGCAATTTCGAAAAACATCAGACTAACCAAATTGGTACCGAATCATCCGAAAGTCATAAGTTCACTGGAATTTACAGCTAAAAACAAGCAAGTTACGACCTTTTCAAAACAGAAAAGACACCCAACTCAAGGAATTCCAAGAGAAGAACGGATTAGACCTGCTTGTAACGGAATTCGACGGTGTAGGAGAGGAGCATGGGGCTGATGTCTCTGGCGTCGGGCCGGGACACAGATACGATGTCCGCCTTGGGCAATTTGTCAAAGATCCGCGGGTGTTCCTGCAGCCGGAAGGAATGCGACGACGGCACTGCGATAGGCGGTTCGGACTGCATCTTCACGTACCGGTGGTCCCCTTCCAGCGACAACTGATCGGAGGGCATCCTCGGGTGGAGCAGACTGCCAATACAGAGCGATAAGGAGGGGTTCTACAGCGAGGACACACAGCAAAGAGTTCGAAAACACGGGCCTCCACTTTTCCCCCTTCGAATTTTGCGGGCTTAAAATAGAACGTCTACGGATCTGCCGAAACTTCCTGTGTATATATATATATATTCTTAAAAAATATCCCTAATTATATATATAATTTCTAGATCATCCTCATCCATGCTCTCTTATAATTCTTAGCTACATTTGTTTCTCACGAAGATCGATGATAAAAATAATAAGATTATGATGATAATCCTTAGCTACATTTGTTCCTCATGAAAATTGATGACGAAACGAGTAAGATTAGAACGAGTAAGATAGAATGTGAGAGGGTGGGATGGCACTTAGTGACGGGAATAGGAATGATAAGACATTTTGATAATGACGGAAGAGGAGTGACGACGGCAAAAGCAATAACAATTGATGAGGGTAATAATGACGACATGACACGCCACGACGTCAGTCGCACCCAGACGACACTCTGTCCAAAAAGGACAATAATGTCGACGTGATGTACGCCGACGTCACCCACTCTGACAACGATTTCATCGCTTGGCCGAGGCAGAGGAGAACGACGACTGAGGCACGCCTATGCCCGGCAGCAATTCGGTTCTTCACGCAATGCCAACGGCAATGTCAGACGCCATTAGAGGTACGATCCTGCTCCTGCAGACAGGCACATCAGGTAACACTAAACTGCCCTATAAATACCCCCGAGTTCTAAACGAGAAAGGGGGAAGAAGAGAGACAACAAACTCCACTCCGCATCTGCTAACTTAATCGTTGGAGGGGTCGAGTCGAGCGCCTCGGCCCGACCTTCGTGCAGGTGCAAGGACCAAGGTCTCCTGCGGACGCGCAGGCGAGGAGTTCCTGCCCAGAAGAGACGGCTACACCGCTCTGATCGGACACCGCACCCGACCTCCCCGGCGGGCTCGAGGAGCGCCGTACTAGATCCCCGCCCATTCGGACCCGAACCAAACCGTGTTGGCCCCGAGGTCACGGTATAAAGTTGTTTACACTAACAACAACCAAGGCACATGGTTTGTCATCTTTTACAATACCTTACCCTCATGGTCTTCGATCACATCCATCTTTTACTAAGATTAATGATAAGAAAGAAATAGAGAGGGGCATATGAGAATGATAAAATCCCTCGATAATAACGTTGGACGATAATGAGTAGCAGTAGTGGGATGAAGGTGATGATTGATACAGGCCTAATGTTACTTTGGGTGAAGGGGGGCATCGGTGATGACTGACGAGATGAAGGTCAAGAGGACAATGCCATCTTTAAGAAAAAAAAAAAAGAGGTGCTCTATGAAATTAAAAAAAATAATTTTTTTTCAATAATATATATATATATATATATATATATATATATATATATATATATA